GTCATTGACGGCTAAGGCGAGCGCCGATACACTGGCCGAACATCCGGTATCACAGCTGATAGACGGCCCCCGAAAGTCGTACACAAATGAGACCCGATTAGCGAATATAGACTTCATATTCCCGAAGCAATCGGACATAATATCATTGGCCATATTTGGCAAATCCGGCTGTAAGTCCTCCGGCAGTCCATCACAACCCACTATATTAGCGGTGCCGACGTATACACCGGTGCCACAGCCTCGCAGTTGTTGGGGGTGTAAACCTTTTAATATAAGGAGTTACTATGTCATATATTATACACTATAACACATATAAAGTTTTAATTATATAATTTATCACAATATTGATAATATCTTTTTATATTATTTGATATAAAATAAGTTATTATTTTATTTATCATTTGTTTAATAGGAGAGAAGGCATACCGGCGTCAACGATGGCCTCATAGACCACTTCCAATAACATGCGGATCTGTGGGTCCATCAGATCGGCGCCCAATTGGCCGAAGAAAGTGGCGTCAAAGCGATCGCAGCTCTCGATAGCACCCAATCGGGGGTTAATTCCAAACAAATCTTTAAATTAAATAATAATAGATTTGAATTATTTTATTTTATAAATGAATGACAGTTTTGTTTTAAATGAAACTTTACTCATGAAAATGTGGAGTTTAAAGAAACAAACAACAAATGAATGTTAATCAGGAATTTCTATTCTCATCACAAATGATACAGTATTGAGTTTTTATGATTGCATTACAATTACTTCTCAAATAGTCATACCTTTTGGCCACCGGTTGTGGTCAGCGGTCATCAAATCTCTGCCGTCGTATAGATTTCGGGCGAATTCGTCGATTGTGTCAGACTTTGGGAATCGACCCGACATTCCGCTAATCACCACATCTTCTGTCCTGTACTTAGACTTTGAAGACATGTCTTATTTAAAAAGTGTTAAGTTATATGTAATTACAGAAAAATAAATCAATTTTATATTTAAACAGAAATGTTGCTGTTCTGGTCTATAATAAAATATATTTTGAGAGTGTGGCTTTTATATACCAAGATAATCATCTTATTTTTTATTTTTACAAAATCAAACAAATTCAAATAAGTTGATAAAAACTATATTTTTTCATTTTTAATGATTAAACTACTAATTAAGTGGTTTGTTAAGTTGTTTAGTTTGACTAATTAGGCAACTATTCAAATAAAAAACCCCCGGCTATTTTCTGACATATGCGAGCAATAGTCATCACCTACTTTATGTTAAGACCACCATGATAGAACTGTAAACATTTTAAATTTCATTTTAATCACCTATTTTTATATCATTTCTGGGTTACTATTGTTAATGTTATTAACTAAAAAACCTTAAACTTTATATACTATAGAATCTTAAAGTAAAATGCCTCGTGTTAGGTCTTATTTAAAATAATATTTTTAATTAAGACCTCCCAATTTAGATGTATTCAAATATATTGTATGTCATACTTTATTTGACAGTATACTTTTTGTAAGATATTTGAACAATATGTTATATTATATGACATAAATAAAATATTCTTCACTTTTATAGAATATTTTTTAAATAAAAATTTTGAAAATTTTTCTAAAAATAAATTATAATTTGCTAATTTAATATGAATATTAATACATAATATATTATATAGTATATGAAATAAATGATAATAAAAGTTGGAAAGTTGCAATTATTTTACTATTATTCTTCTTATTACTTTCTAGAATTACAAATAATAAAATGTTACTAATATAAATGATCTCAATTTGTGTGGTTCACATGTGGCCATCATGAACACGAACGTGTGTGGTCAATTTTACAATTAATTGCTAATAATTGTTAAATCAACACCTTGAATATGCAGTATTTGCTTAATAGTTTAAAATTATCATATTCATTAGATTAACTAATTGTATAAATTATTCATTTAAGTAATTATCAAAAAAATATTAAAGTAAACCATAACTGTTAGAATCTATTCTGTAGTTAATAGATAACATTTTTATGCATATTATTTATAATTAATTATCAATTTAATAAAATATTTGTTTATTTTCCCGATCATGTTCATGAATTAGATAATTGGCGTAGCTTACTAACTTACGTAGCTAGTTAAATTTTTAAGTTTATATAAAAACGTAGATCTTTTTAATTGAAGTGTTCGAGTAATTGAATTTTATGTTAAAATTGCATTGTTTTTAAATTAACCACAAAAAGGTAAATTAAATTCATATAAATTATTGTATTATTTTTTAGTTATTTGGTACTTTTGTCAATAGAAGTTTGTGCATAAGTTTTGCCCATTGCATAAACAGTGCTTTATATGATCCACAATAATCTTATAATCTCGGGTATGTGAATTTATCAAAATATAAAAATAATGAAATATTTAATTGTATATATTATAGATTTATCGACGCTATTGACAGTAAATTTCTAAATCTAGTGTAAATCTCGATTAGTTGGCAAAACTCGTATTTGAAATATCTTATATAAATTTTGCTTTATTTATCTACACATGAGATTATTATATGAGATGAATGATTACTGTTTGAGATTATTGACTTGTTTCATTAGTACAGCCAAAGCTATTACATATAATTATAACAAAGTGTAGCTATGCATTGACCACTCGTTATATTAGAGTACATAATTAACCTGTTAATATAATTTGTGACATAATGGATATTTGTAACACTATATATCTTGGTATATAACAGGGATAAAAAAAAGTCTAAAATTCTAAAAACAATTTTAAAAATATTAGATAGTTTTATTTGTAGTCAGTATGTTAACATTTTGTGAATAAACATTTTTCTATGAGTGCGGGTCCGAAGATGTGGTGATCAATGGAATACTCGTTTATTCATATTATATTTAAATAAAATTACATTTATTATCATAATATGATAATATCATAAATATTTTTAAAATATAGTCTCATTTTTAAAATAAAATTTAACATTAATATGTTATTACGATTCATAAATTATATTTATAATTATTGTGTAATTCAATGTTAATTAATTATCAATTGTTAGATTATTTCTTCAAATAATATTAATAATTAGTATTTATTTTAGAATTGTTTGTCGAGAAAAGATTCAAATAGTGATACATTTTGATGGCTTTCAGCAAAAACACAGACAATAATGTGTTTTATGCGGACGAAGAGTACCGAAAGACGGCTCACATCTCATCACTCGATGAGTACAGAAAACTATACCAGAAGTCAGTCTCAGATCCCAAAGGCTTTTGGAGTGAAATCGCGANACGGCTCACATCTCATCACTCGATGAGTACAGAAAACTATACCAGAAGTCAGTCTCAGATCCCAAAGGCTTTTGGAGTGAAATCGCGAATAACTTCTATTGGAAGCGATGGACACAAGAAGTAGAGGTCGTGTCCTATAATTTTGATGTCACTAAAGGACCCGTTTGTGTGAAATGGTTGGACGGATGCAAAACCAATGTCTGTTATAATGTATTGGATTTGGTTATCGAGAAAGGACTCGGAAATCGTGTCGCCTATTATTGGTCAGTGTTTTAGTAATTAATGTTTTATAAATAAATGCAATTAAACTTCATATTTGTAAAATCTGTAAGACCACATAATTTAAGTTAATTTATTAATATAGTGGTCTTTGTTTATTATAAATAAATTAATGATGGTTATATTTTATTGATTTTAATTGATTATTAAAATATAATAGGGAATCCAATGATGGCAAATCATACAAAATAGTAACTTATAATGAATTACTGCGCGATGTCTGCAGATTTGCAAATGTGCTCAAAGGGTTGGGCATCAAAAGGGGTGATAGAGTGGCCACATATATGTCGGTAACCGTAGAGTTGGTTACTGTTATGCTGGCCTGCGCTCGAATCGGCGCCATTCACTCAGTCATTGTATGTCTATTTAAAATAAGTTTATTTTTAAATTTGTAATTTATTTGTTAAAATTATTCTCATTTGAATAGTTCGCCGGTTTCTCTGCCGAATCCCTCGCCGACCGTATAATAGATGCCAATTGTGTTATATTAGTGACGGCCGACGGGGCCTTTCGGGCCAACAAATTTATACCATTGAAATCAATCGCCGACTCAGCACTCGATATATGCAAACAAATGTAAATTTATTAATTTATTTACTTAAAGCATGTACATTTATAAAATTTATTTTTCAATTCAGGAATCACAAAGTGATGGCTTGTATTGTGAACCCACATCTGAATCTCAAAAGAAATATTATAATTAATAAAAACAATAATAATATTGAGAGTAAATGTGGCATCAATTGGGACCCAAATGTGGACATCCTATGGACTGATGTCATGACAAATGTTTGCGATTATTGCGAACCCGAATGGATGGGAGCGGAAGACCCACTGTTCATACTTTATACCAGGTTTGTTATCAAATTATATGACCGAGGTGACATAAAAATAATATAAAAGTATACTTTTGTCGTAAATATTATATCATAAGTGGAAGTACGGGAAAACCTAAAGGCATTGTCCACACAATCGGCGGTTATCTCCTCTACTCTTACATAACATTCAAATATGTATTCAATTACACCGACGGAGACGTGTTTTTCTCGACCGCAGATTTGGGATGGAT